AAGATTCCCCTTGCCACACCCAGCAGTGTAGCCTTGGCGTAGTTGTTGAAGTTCCGCGGGAGTATGTGGTGGTGTGTTGCATGCCTGAATCTGAGAAATGTTCAGGCTTGAATCGGGGACTTGCTCAAGAGCCTCCTCTGTGCTTCGTGGTTCAGTGAAGCTCTCTCCTGGTGCGCTAGTTGGTGGGGAAGGCGTTGCCGCACTCCCCGTGGAACTCCTGCTCATCGCCCGGCGCATGGGATTGCGTCCTCAGGAGTGCTCTCCAGTGCACTCCTGGCCCCCCTCCTTCCTGATCTGCCTGTACGGAGCCTTTGGGTGCTTCCCCTCGGGAGTCTCTTCCCAGGTATGCACGACCCTAGAGCAGGCGGTTCTGTGCGGCATCAGAAGAGTTTAAGAAAGAGGCCAGTGGCCTTCCACTTGGCCCCGTATTCCTCCTGCACGTGGCAAAGTATTTGCTTTTGCATGGAGGTGATTTCTGAGTGGGAAGCTCGTGTCTGAAGCAGCCCAAAGACTGTGTTCGCTGTGTGGTCCAGTTCCGAACAGAGGCCCACCCTCCCGAGCATTTCTCTCAGATCCCTTAGCGTCTTTCTTGGAATGAGCAGCTCTGGCCACCCTCAGAAGCTGTTTGTCTCTGAAAAGAGCTGGAGACCAGGCGGCACCCTTCACATTGCTGCCCCAACAGGGCCCCGCTGCCTGCCAGCATTCAGGGCTTGAGGCTGCTGCTTCGGGAGTTTACTCAGGCAGGAAACGGGCTGCTTCCACGCCAGCACCTGCGTCTCACTAGGCCAGCCACCATGCATTTTGAAGGTTTTTCTGGGTAAACTGCTTCTGTGCTCAGCTGAGCGGGAGAAGGGGTGTGTATGTGAGTGATTCTTCCCATGGCAGGCAGGCAGGCAGGCAGGCAGGCAGGCAGGCAGTGAGGTACAGCACCCTAGAAAACTGCTCCTCTCTGCCCTCCGTGCTGCTCTCTTCCTTTTCTCACGTACTCTGTTTTGGATAGACAGAACCAAAATCCCAGGATTTGGTGGGGATATGGCTGCTGGTTGTTGCTCAGCCCTGTAGCCGCCTGATTCTCATGAGGCTTGGACGAAAGGTCCACTTGCTGACCCTGGCAGAGTCGGGTTGCCAGCTTCCCATTGGAAACAGTCTTGAATCCTTTAAGTCAAGGGCAACAGATGAAAACAAGCCTTACTGAGAACCACTAAAATGTGGGGTTTGGCCTGAACTCTGTCCAGTCGAACAGCGTAAAATCAAAATGCTTCCTCTGGGAGAAAACCCGGTTGAAGGTGAAGGGCAGCTTCCAGCCTGTTCGTAGGATGTTTATGGGCTGACCCACGCAGGTGGCTGAAGGCTCCAGGAGGAGCCTGTGCTTGCGTTCCATTAAGCCGCCTCTGCCTTGCAGGGACCCTGTAATGATTATGCCCCCCATAATGGCCTTCCTGTGACGGCCCGGCTCAGCTCTTCTCACTGGTCTTCTCCAGGGAGCCTCGCCCCCTCATGATGTGCCCGAAGTACGGCAGCCGCAAGTCTCATTGTTTCTGCCTCCCTTGCAAGCTCTGGCTGAATTTGGCCTACGGCCTACTTGTTCTTTTTTCTGTTGGCCTAGCATAATCGCAAAGCTCTCCAGGCTCCTTCAGCGCCATGTTCAAACGCATCTGTTTTCCTGTCCTATGGTCCAGCTTCACTATCCAGCTTCCACACCCATCCATAGTGAACAGGAATGCAATAGTGTGGATGATCCTGGCCTCAGTGTCCAGTGAAACATCCTTACACTTGATGGCCTCCTCTGTTCCTTCACCGTTGCCCTTCCAAGTTCCAGCCTTCCTTGCACTTCTTGACTGCAGACTCCCTCTGGATTTATCACTGAACCAAGGTATGCCAAATATTTCACAATTTCAGTTTCTTCATTTTTGACATTATAGTAGGCATGATTTTTGGTTCAGCTGCAGTCCTGCTTTTGCATTTACAGCTTTACTCTGGCATGTATTTGGTTATTTATTTATCCATTCATTCAGAACTTTTGTATACCACCCGCCACCAAATGATCTTGGGATGGTCTTGCGATAACCCAAAGTGGAGCATAGTATCCATTCTATACAATAAAAGCCCACTTAAAATCTCAATCTAAACCTTAAAATACTGGGAAAATAATGTTTTTTGATAGTAAGAGTTCATGGTTACCATTACAGTCCGCTCCCAGTCTTTTTTTGGCAGCAAGAATAGAGGATCTCCGCTCTTCTCTATGTAGGCCGTTGGTTTTTCTAGACTGACCACATGTGTGTATTTGCAATAAACCTATTGCTGGCTCTGCAGAAGTGTATGAGTCATTCTCCTGCTTCGTTTCTGACCACTGGGCCAAATTCTCCCACAGCGCTGGATTCTGTTTTGTTTCTACTTTTGCATTCAGATGATCCATGTCGATCGGCATGTCTCCTGTTAGCGTCGTATCCTTTCCCTCTTGAGTGCCCGCATAAGTTTTCCATTTCTTCTTCAGCATCTCTTGTTGGGGCATATACCTGAATGATGGCTGTGTTGATAGGTTTCCCACAAATTCTGTTTGACATTATTCCGTCAGCATTGGCATGGTAGCCCCCTTCTGCCTGTGCTCCATCTTGCCTCGGTATTAAGGCCACTCCATTTCTTCTGAGTCTGGCATTTCCAGAGTAAAATATTTGGCATTTGTCTGGCTGAAAATGTCCGTTGCAGTCCGCTTTACTTCGCCCACACCGAGTGAGGGCACGTGCTTTGTGTCGTTTTTCTGAAGAGTGGCGCCTTTCGTTTCTGGTCCTCCGATGCACACGCGGCGCTTTGAGGCGGAGGGAGGCGCCTCTGCTGCAATCCCTGTGCTGTGCATGTAATTCGGATTGGGGGCGGGGGGGGGGCTTAGCCAGAAGCACCGTACTTGCCCCACCTTCCGGTCCTGGTGGAGGTAGGCAGAGGAGATACAGGGAGGTGTGGCCAGAAGAAAAGGCTTGGTGGGAGGATGCGTGGCCTGCCTGTCCCTATTTATGGCCGTGCCCTGGTTCCTCGCAAAGCTCTTGCTCTTCCCGTTTCATTCAGGGTGTGCATTTGCACCCCCTTTGTGGTAGGCCCCTGGGTTTGTGTTAGGCAGATTGGCAGTGAAGGCTTTGAGCGCGGGTCCCTGAGTGTCCGCGGCAGAAAAGGGGACGGTAACCCTCTTCCTGCAGGGTTGCACCTTCCCCATCGCCAGGGAACGCTGCTCCTCAAATCGTGGCCTTAGGAAAATGAAAGATGTGTTTTCCTTTGATGTATCTCAACCAGCCTGTCTATTCTGCATTGCACTGTTCGGGTCCTGCTGCAGTTTCCTGTGCCTTGGATCGCTCCTGCTTCCAAACCCTGCAGCTTTCACTTTACCCAAAGCCTCCCTGTGGGAATGTGGTCTTCCGTGAGGCTGCTTACTCTGAATAAATATTAATAACAGATACTGTTTAACTTGGAACGTGTTATCTGTGTTTTTTCCTGCATGGAAACTAGATGGGGGGGGGGCAGAGTAAGCGGGAGGGAAATCCAGCCTTTGTGCTCCTTTGCATAATATATTCCACATGGCCAACGTTCAGGCTTTCAGCCTGGCGCAGGGTGGTATTCTTTCCCATTTCAGCATGGCCGGCTTGGTTATCTGAAGGGGCTGGAATGCCGCGGATCAGGGCTTGGCTTGTGCAGTTCCGTGCCGTTCAGCAGCGTGCAGTGCCTTGCAGCAGGCTCATTACTAGGAGCAACAGCCCTGTGAAGTCGGGCACTAGGCGTCCCATGGCTTATGGGAAGCGGAAGCTGGGAAGGGGCCTCTGCGTTTTCATGAAGGGTTGCCTAGATTGCCGTGAGGCGGTCAGCCTGCGTCTGGGCCGTGCTGCTTCGGTCTCCGGGTGTGGATTTGCATGACGGGCTGCTTCTCTGTACAAAACCAGCCCTTGCAGATAGAGAGCTAACGTGTCAGGGAAAAGGCTGTGTTAGAACCCTTCTTTTTGACATGCTAGTTTTCTCTGTGCAGGGATTATATTTAAAATGTGTTATAGGGATCATTCAGTTGAATGAGCTCCCACTTCCAATGATACAGTAAAAAGGAGAGTTGGCAGGCCGAATACACGGCATTTGTCTCCAGTGTCTGACCGACATTGAGTTCACCTGTAATTCCCAGTGCTGAACTACATTGTGCTGTGTGTCGATCGTGACTAAGTGTATCTGCTCCTAGCCTTCTGTTGACAGAAACCACGTCCGCATCCCCACCAGCGCCTTCTGTGTTGCCCCCCTCCCCACCCATCCACCCAGATCCAAACTGCAAAGGCCGATATTGAGGCGCCTTCTGTTTTTCCCCAGTTGCCTCGAGTGCCCTCTCTGCTCCTCCCTCACCGTGCGACGCTCGGAGTAGTCGGGCGGTCTCCTGCGGCAGAAGGCGGTTTTCAGGCAGCACCGTCTGGAATCGGAGTGTTGTGTCAGTCAGAAGCAGCACTTTGGATGGTGCCAGAAACAGATCAGGGTGCCGAGGGACGCGCAGGGTCCCTGCAATGGGCCCAGGCAGCCGTCCGGCCACAGTGCTCCAGACCAGCTGACGTCTGGGGGCCGTTTCAGACGGCGCCCCGTGAAGCCCAAATGGACACGCGTGGCCGTGGCCGGACCAGGCGTCTCCAGGAGCAGGTGTGGCAGCCTCAGCTGGTCAGATACGCTCCCGGCTGCGGCTTTCAGCGTCAGGGCTGAGCCGGGAGCGCACCTGAACAGCGGCCTGGATCTTCAGGAGCGAGCGGCCCGCCCGGCCCGTTCCTCGGTGCGAAGGGTGGATGAGGGGGCAAGGACTCTGACAGGCGGCGCGTGTGAGGTTGCGGTCACGGGGTGTGCGGGGGCAGCGACCTCTGCCAGCCCGTGCGTTGGCGTCCTTCCGCAACCTGCTTATGTATTTGCAGCTTTTCTGCCCCGCCCTTCACAGTGTCTCAGGGCGATGCTTCTTCCCTGCTGGTAACCTTTTCCCCTGACCCTCTTTTCCTCCGTAGATTCCATAATGATGAATGGTTCCAACGTGGCCAACACAAGTACAGCTGCGACCACCCCTGTGAAATCCAGGGAGGACCAGGTAGTGAACGGGCATAATGAGAAGGAGAGCAACCCCTTTGCCGAGTACATGTGGATGGAGAACGAGGAGGACTTCAACCGACAGGTGATGAACACAGAGGAGCCGGTCCGCTGCGTTCGGCTTCCACACACACGTGCACAGAATGGCCGCTGTAGCTCAGTGTAGGCACACGCAGAGCCGTGTGCCGGGGCGAGAAGTCGGGGCTGATGGAATTTGAGCTAGCAGTCACTGAGCAGGAAAGAAATCCTGGAGTATTAGTGGAAAACCCAATGAAACTGCTGGCCCAGCACACAGCTGCAGTGAAGAAAGCAAGCGCCATGCCAGGCATAATTAGGAACAGAAAAGAAGGTAGAACTGCCAAGATCTTGCTTCCCTCATGCAAACCTTTGGCATGGCCGTGCTTGAAATATTGTGTTCTGTTCTAGTTGCCTTACCTGAGTTGGAAAAAGTACAGAGAAGAGCAGGAAACGTGATTGGGGGATGGAGCAGCTTCCCTGTGAGGAAAGGCTGGGGAGAGCTGTTTTGGCTGTTAAATTGCGTTGATTGTGTGTACTGAAACAGAACTAGGCCATTTTTACCATACTGTGTTCTGTGAATTGCTGTGAATTGCCCTGGTAAGCTTCGCAAGCACCAGGATGGGGTGCTGAGTCTGGAGGCTGCTTTTCTGGGGCGTGCAGGCTGAGAAAGGCTGCTAAGAGGCTGGGGGATCAGGGACTGTGTCGTGCCTGCCCCCTCTGCTTTCACGGGCCGCTGCCCGAGTGCCACGCTCGCAGGGAGAGCCCCCGGAGCAGGGCACCCTGTGCATGAGGGTGGCAGAAACAAGCACACACGGCCCGCGCCCTGTTCTGAGGGCAAAAAACGGGAGTGCTTTCTCCCCGGCGTGCACGAGGGAGGGAGCGAGGGGCCGGTCTTTTTGCTGGCGCCAGCCCCTGCGCGGGAGGCGGATCTGAATGCCCTCGGGCCCGGACCCGCAGGGTGCGGGGAGGCTGGCGGCTGTGGAGGCGCCTCGTGGCCTGCCCCACTGCGGGACACACGGTAGCGAGCAGGCATTGCTTTGCCTCTCGAGGATCTGCGGGGATGGAGAGGCCTCGGGTCGGAGGATCCACCAGGAGGTCTGGGGAGGATCCTCACCGGGAGAGGGAGGCATGTGCCCGTTTCTTGCTGGGTTTGAGCTGCACCTCTGGCACCCAGCTCAGCCCGGATTGGGCCGGCTGGCTCTGGGCTCTGGGCTCATTGCTCCGTCTCAGCCTCCACTGCCCCAGAACTGTGATACCCCGCCTGCAGTGTGGTTGTGTGGCTGGTCAGAGGGGGGTTTGTAACGTGCGCTGTGTGCTGAATGATGCTGAAGCCTTCCAGATGGTTCTTTGCACATCTTGCCTTGCGATCGCTGCTGGGATGAACAAACAGCCGGGCGCAGGCCGGGGCACGTCTTCTGCGGCTGCCGGAATGTGCAGAGCAGGAATGGGGTATCTGACGGAGCAGCATTGAAGCGGTCTAGTCTGTACTCAAAATAGTTTTAGCAGATAAATCGCTTTTAATGTTGTATACTGAAAAAGAATTGTGCCATTTTTACTGTATTGTGTTTTGTGAGTTGTGAATTGCCCCATAAGCTTCTCAAGCATGGGGGCAGGGTGCTCAGTTCAGGGGCTGTTATGAGAGCTTGGGCTACCTTCCCCGACCTGAAGCTATCCAGGTTTGTTGGACTACAGCTTCCAGAGCCCCCCAGCCAGCTCTGCAAGAACCAGGTTGGGCAAAACTGGTTTCAAACATGCGTGTGTGGAGCAACTGTGAGAAAGCTGTGGAGGTAGGACTTGGTTTGCCAGTGGATTTGCGTCCCTGTATGTTTGGCGCACCACCCAAAACGCCGCCTGAAGCAAGGCTGGAGAGCAGAGCGCGGTTTCCGGGCTCTCACTGTTCCAGCAGCGCCAGGTTTAGGGGCCGCTTGCCCCTTGGCTTTGTGGAGACGTGTGTGGGAACAGGCAGCGGGAATCGGCTCCAGGTCGGGTCCAGTCCCTAGGGATCCGGCAGGAGGCCTGGGCCTCGGGTCGGCCGCAGAGCTGGTCTGCTGTTTGTGTTGTGACAGGTGTGAGTCGCTGGCTGGCAGGCCAGCACCTCTCTGGGGCTCCTGGTTGGCAGAGGTGTACATGGGCAGAATTCGGGGCAGGGGAAGGCCCGCCACCAAGGTTAGCACTTGCCTTCCTCGGGGGAGCAAAGCTTTCCCCTGCGTCCCAGTGCTGAGCGAGGCTGCCACCGTGTGGCTGCTCGAAGAACAGCACCCATTTGCAACGTGGCTAAAACGTGGTGACAGCTGAAGTTGTCCTTGCATTGGCTGCGTGGCCGTTTGGAAAGGGGAGGGCATTAAAAAAGGAAGGGTGGGGGTCTAATAAGGGTGGTCACCAGAGAGGACGCAGTAGCTTGGGCATTGTGTCTTTGGAAGCCCCAGATTGGCTTCTTGAAAATCTCCGGATTGTGTTCAAGACGTGCTGAAGGCGTGGAATGCCCCCTTCAGAATGCGCAGAGAACGGGCTTGAAAATAAAGCAGCATTGAGCATCGCTGCTGCTCCCGCCATTTCTCATCCCACAATAGCCAACGCTGTCTGGGCGAGTCACCAAGCACAATGCAGTAAAAATGGCGCGATTCTTTTTCAGGATACAAAACTAAAAGCAATTTAACAGCTAAAACTTTTAAATACAAAACTAGATTATTTAAATGCCAGTGTGCATTCGCTGCCTCGGAGAAGGGGGCAGACTCTACTTGGTGTAAGACGGCAATGTCGACACCGGGCAGGCTGCCGTGGAGAAATCATTCCACCATTTGGGAGGTGCCACTTGGAGGCCACCTTAGAAATTGCTGGCGGCTTCCAAGTAGATTTAGATGCCCTCCTCATACCAAACTACCAGTAGTGTGGCTGCACTTCCGAACACCATGCGCTTTTCCAGTCACCCTCGGATAATGTTGCCAAGGGACGGGAGGAGTGGGTGGAAACACAGCTTCAGCTCCCTTTCCTGGTACTAGAACTTCAGGGTCAGGGTCGCTCGTAGGTTCAGGAGAAAGTCATTCATGCACGGGGCACGGAGAATGTGTGGCAGGCACTGGCATGAGCTGAGGCAACTATAAAAGGGGTCCGATTGCTGGAGCGCCCCACCAGAAGCTCTGTCGCGGGGAGGGACCGTCCTGGGGCGCCTGTTGCCCGTGGGGCGATTTGGTACGTTCTCTGTCTGGCTCCTGCTGGGACAGAATGCAGTGCTGGCGCAGCTGGGCTGCTCTTCTCATCCCGCAGGGCTGCTGCTTGGTCCCTGCAGAAAGAAGCACCTGTCGCTTTGGCCGGGAGCATCCTTGCTGTTCTCGGTTGCCTGACCACAGTGTTGGGTGTGTGCACCTGCCCGTGGCGGGCCGCCCACTCCCCCTCTGTCCCGAGCACCTGTTCCGCGCTTGCTCTGTCTGTCCGTGAGCAGGCCACGCTGCAGGAGGAGGTGGGGCGGCTCCCCTTGCAGCACAAGGCCACGCTGTCGAGCCGCCCGCCTGGCGTACGGCGCCATCCCAAGCAGCCCTCGCTTCGTCCTGCTGCCCTCCCTCGGCGGTCGCCCTGCTTTCTGTTACGGCGGTCGTGGAGGGAGACGAGCAGGGGCTGTGTCCCTGCTTTGCATGCGGAAGGGGCTGGGTGCCCTCCTGGGCATTTCCAGAGGGGGCAGAAAGCCTGGAAGAGCTCCTGGCAGCCCCGCTCAGCAGCCCCGGGCAAGCTGGGCCTAGGGCCCGATTCCGCCCAGGGGTGCTCCAGGTGTTCCTGGATGGGCAGCGAGTGCCACCCGGGTTCTGGATCCGGGCCAGTCAGTAAGATGGGGGAAAGGCGGAATGAGGAAGCCTGCACCAAAAACGGGGAGCCAGCCTTGGTTCGCCCTCCCCCGCCTGTCTTCCGGGAACGACTGTTGGACGAGCAAGCTGGAGCTTCGTCTTTCTGGAGAACCCCACAGCGAAGCCGTGCCCGTGGGGGCCAGTGCTGGCTGAGCCCGCTTGCCGCAGAGATGCTTCAATGCTAGGCCTTCGGTGTCCCCGCGAGGCTCCTGCTCCGCCCGGGCGGCTTCCGCTTTGGCACCTCATCTGCTTCCAGCAACTGAACCGAGGGAGGGCCGCGTGAATGGCCCAGACGGATCCCAAACGCTCGCTGGTCACGGAGCGACGCGTGGCTGTGTGCGTGCCCGTCGGCTTTGTTTTGGCCGGGTGGACCTGGGTCCTTGGGCTGACCATCTCTGTGGGATTCGTGCTGGGTTCTGCGATCGCGTGGCTCTGCCCTGCCCTGGCCTGCCCTTGCCATTCCTGCCCCACGCGGTCCGTGCCTTCACGGGGGCGATCGCCAGTGGCTGCAGCTTCCTGGGGGCAGCAGATGCGCCACCGTGGGAACGGCACGAGCGGCCGGGGAGCACTTCTTCCTGGGCCACCCTCGGGGTTCTGCAGTCCCCCCAGGGCAGCAGCTGTGCCCCTGTGAACGGGCTTGGCCAGGCCAGGCCCAAGCTAGCCACAGCGGTGCCCCGGTCGCTCCGGCAGCCGGCACGCGTGCGGCACAAGCCCCGCTGCTGCGGCTTGCGTGCCTCGCCGGCCTGACCCTCTCTGGCGGTTCTCCTTCCGGGCAGGTGGAGGAGGAGCTCCAGGAGCAGGAATTCCTGGACCGCTGCTTCCAGGAGATGCTGGACGAAGAGGACAAGGAGTGGTTCATTCCGTCCCGCGACCTGCCCCAGGGCATCGGGCAGCTGCAGCAGCAGCTGAATGGGCTCTCCGTCAGCGACAGCGCGCACAGCCACGTGCCACAGGACATTTTGGTAAGCGGCGGGGGGCCGGGGAGGCTCGGCGGGGCACGCGGGTTTCCGTGGCTTCTGCAGAAGTGCTGCTTCGATCCATGAGACCGGGACGGCGGCCAACCTCGGGCTGCACCGGGAGCAGGAAGGGGCACGGCAGCTTTCTAAGGGGTCCAGGAGGGACAGATTGAGCCATCGGTAAATGAGGGGTGGGAGAGGCTTGCGTGTGCGCCTCGCCTGCCCTGACCTTCCTTTAATCTGTGGGCGTGCGGCGCGTGTGCACCCCCCTCGTCCTGGTCAGCTTCCACGCAGAGCCACCGCCTCCCCGCCACCCGCCCTCTCCCCTGCAGAGCTGTTTGACCCCGCTGTTGTCGCCAAGGCCTTCCTGGGGCCGCTTCCTCGGGAGGCACGCTCCACAGTCGCGGGGAGCAGAACGTCTCGGGGGGCGGCTCCCGCCCTGGAATGACCCTGCCTGCCCTGCATTGAAAACTGGCACATCTGGCGGACCTCAGGCGAGGGCAGACTGCCGCTTTTGGCCCAGATGCACGAATGATCCTGTTCTCCGTTTGGCTTTTTTTCTCATGACCTCATTTGTTCGGGTCCACGGCTTGTACCAGTTACTCTTTAATCGCTGTTTCTTTGGAAACTGGTGTCCAAATTACCTTTCAGTAGGAAGCAACTGAAGACACGGAAGAAAGAAAATGGTAGGACGCGGGCAATCTGGAAGGAGAGGATTGAAATGGTGTGGGGGGGTAGTTGAGGAGCCAGGACACCCCTCTGCCTGTGGGGGGGTCCCTGCACCAGCTGACCCTTCTCCCCCTTCTCCCTTTCAGAGCAAAAGCACCTTAAATCCCGACGCCAAGGAGTTTGTCCCAGGAGTGAAGTACTGAACCTTCCAGCAAACTTCGCACAGACTTTTTTTTGCCCTGGATGGGGGGAGGGATGGGGGGGAGTGGGACCCACAAGCAGTGGTGGGGTAAAGACTTCGTGGGCACATCTGTGGGCCTTTAAGCTACTTAAGCCCTCTTTTCTTGCTTCGTCGGGACGTTTTGAGAAAAACGGATGAGAAGTCACGTCCACCGGGCGACGAGGGACACCTGGTCGGGGGCAGTGGTGCTCCCTCCCCTCTTTCCGTTAAGCGACAGCAAGCCTAACCTGGCAGCCCGCAGGGGCCTCTGCCTGCCCCGCCAGTGATCGGCCCCGGACACTTCGTGGGCCCCCTGCTGTGCCGCCCAGGCCAGGCTCCTCTCGGTGGAAGCTTTCCCACGGGCGGGCTTGCTGCTTTCCGGCCAGCCCGGCCCTTCCGCTCCTCTCCGCCCCACCTCCCCTGCCTTCGGAGCAGCCCCTTCCTCCGCCCTCCCTCGTGCGCTCGGCCCACTCCCCGGCTCGGTGTCACTGCTCCGTGGACTGCGGGCTGAGCTGGGCCCGCCGCCGTCTCCGGGGCTTGGGTATGAGATCGGACCTTCCCCCCGCAGCTCGGCACACACGGCGTTTCCTGCGGGCTGCTGAGGACTGCGTCCCCCGGGGAGGCAGGGTGCCCCAGGATGTCCTCTGGCCAGGAGGGCGGCGAGGGGATCGCGGGCTGCGCGCAGCACGAACAACCCTCCGTCCCTGCCCCTTCCCTGCCCCAGCTCCCCCACCCTTTAAGGAATAATCTGGGGCGGCAGACGGGGCAATGCTCTGCCCGGTCAGTCCGAGCCGCTGCCCTCGAGGCTTGCATGGGGGCGGGAGGACCGCAGGCACAACGGCTTCCTTGGCGCCCAAGCCGTGGAGTGGCGTGAACGCCGCTCGAGCAGAAGCGCACGGTGCGCCGGACTGCGCCTTTGACAGAGCTTTGTATTCCGTCTGCGTAAAGAGCTGGGTGGCGCGGATCCAGCCCGAGCTGCCGGCTCCGGGTGCTCTTCCCGTGCCGCCTTCCTAGAGCGGGATCAGGGCAGGGCACCGGGGGCACTAGTCTTCCATTACTGGCCGCCTGCTCGCTCCAAACGGTCCTCCGGCGGCAGCTGGGCAAGGAACCGTCCGGTTTTCTCTCGGCGGGCGCAAGGGCAGCCCCGGCCTCTTGCCTGCTGGTCTGAGGAACCGGGAGCCACGCGCCGCGTAGCGCCCGCCCAACGTGATTGGCCAGGTGCCCCACCCCGTCTCCGGGCCGATTCCTCCTCCTGGGGGCTCCTGGCAGCGGCCGAGCCGAACGAACCCGGATGGGCTGCCTGGAGGGGGCCGCAGCAGCCTTCCCAGCAGGCTGGGCCCAGGGGGGAGGCATCTCCCGCCCAGAGGGGACGGGTGTGGGGGTGCGGTGTCCCCCCCGCATCGGCACCGCAAGCCCAGCCAGACCGCTCTGGGCCCCTTCGCCGCACGGTCCCTCGAGCGGCGTGGGACTCGCAGGGCGGGGGCCGGGCCAGCTGCCGCAAGCCGTGCGGGGGGCACTCCCGGAACCCGCGGTGGGGAATGGGCAGCCCCCTGCCACCCCCAGCACGCGCTTCCTGTCACCCCAAGTGGCACGGCGGTGCCGAGGAGCGAGCGCTGCGGCTCGACGCCCCGAGGGCCGACGTGCCCCAGCCAGGGAGTTGGAAGCCGCGGAGGCCGTCACCAAAGGGGCCCTGCAGCTCCCGGGAGGCGGGTGCGAGGGCCTTGGCCTGCCGCCGGCTGAATAGCCGCTTCCCACCTTGCCCGGAAGACTTTCGGGGCTCCCAGTGTGGGCTCCGAGCGAGCTGGTCCGAAGGGCCGCGGCCGCAGCCCGTGTTCTGTCAGTCCCGTGCCAGCAGCGTTGCCCCCGGGACCCCCAGTGCAGGGCCACACCACGTGCTGGCCAAATCCTTTTTGGAGAGCCTCCCTCTGCGGGGCCCAGGTGGGTCCCCTCGAGCCACGTGCAGAACCGAGGTTAAGCTTGCCCCCCCCCCCCCCCCCCAGAGGGGGGGCCCGTTTCCCCCCGCCCCCCCCCGCCGGCCCCGGGGGGGGGGGGGGGGGGCTGGCCTTGCTGAGCTGCAAGCTTATCTGTCAATCTGCAGGATACTTAGAGCAGATCTGTGGGGCCATATCCTGTCTCCCCTCATCTTCCCCTCTGCCCCCCCCAACCTCCAGTTGCTCCCCGAGAAAGTCTTCACAATTAAATGCTGTCCATTTTTACAATGCATTCTAAAATAAATTGGTTTTGAGCTGGGTGCCGTGCTGAGGCCTCTCTGGGACCTACCCATCCCCACCTCTTATGGGGCGAGTCTTTTCCCCTTGGGGTTCCTGTCAGCAGGGGAGAGGCTGCTGCAGCAGAGTGGTGAATGCGCATGGAGAAGGCGGTGGCAGAGCGCGGATCCCTCCGATGCCGGCCGGCCCACAGCGGGGATGAGCAGCTTCCAAGGGGCAGCCGAACACAGGAAGGCGGCAGGCGAAGCGCTTTGCGGAACCGCCACGGAAGGGGCCCCGAGCAGAGCCACACCACGCGAGGTGCTCGGCCGTGGCAGCGCCTGTGCGGCAGGAGAGCCGCTGGCGGAGCGCCTCTTTCTGGCTGGGGCTGCCCAAGAGCCACCCCTCGGAATCCAGCCTTGGCCAAAGCGCGTCCCAGCAGGCCAGTCGGCCGTCTTGTCGGCCAAGAGGCAGCGGCCGGCCGGCTCGGGAGCTTCCCTTGCACGGAGGGTCTGGCCGTGCCTGCTGCCGCCTGAGGGCCAGGAGGGGAAGCCTGGGGGGGCGAGCGCCAGCAGGGGAAGTACAGATCACACCGCCGCTTGGTCTTGCTTTTTATTGATGAATTTAAGAAACGTGCATACAAAAAGTCCAACAAGATTCCCTTTGAGACAGAGAAGACCATCAATTAAAGTTGTAAAAACGGCCGGCGGGCCGGCCCCTCTAGGCGAAGGAGTGTGTGTAGAAGACGTCCACGTTGGCGGCATAGTCGAGGGGGAGGGCCTGGCCCACGTGCCGGGCGCCCAGGCTCGCGCCGCCCAGGGCCGAGGACTGCTTCAGCTTCAGGAGGCTGAACGTGGAGAAGGCGCTGCCATGCTGCTCGCGGTGGGCCTGCTCCAGGACCCCGAGGAACCCTGGCGCCGCGGGAGAAGCGGGGGCCCGGTGAGCGAGCCCCGTAGGGGTGGCTGCCGAGACCCACGGCCAGCCAGGCCCCCTCACCCTTCCCGTCGCCCACGGGAACCCAAGGCGAGGGAGGGTTCAGCCAGACATGGGACTGACCCCTGCGCCACCTCTTCCTGGCCCCACATGTGGGAAGGCCACCCGGCACCCGGCCATGGGCTCGCTGCCCCCACGGCGAGCCCCGCAAAGCAGGCCAGCCACCCGCCCCCGCTCACCTTCCTTCATCATTTCCCAGCTGTTCCACACGGATCCAACGCACACGATGGGCAGGCCCAGGTCGCCCTGGAAGAGGCTCTTGGGGAAGAAGCAGACGGGACAGGCGGGGCCCTTGAGCTCTGCCTGTGCTCGGCACCCTGCCTTTCTTCGGCAGAACTCTGCACGCGGCAGCGGCAGGGCCCCTCCTGCCCAGGCAGTGCGCAGACTCGGCCGTGCCTGGCTCCAGCAGGGTGCTGCACCTGAGCCCCGCACTCCACCAAGGGATGTGGGCAAGGCTTTCTGGCCCCGGGTGCTGGCGAGGGTTTGCTGGCTGGGCTGTGGGAGGCCTGCCTGAAAGACCCCCGGACACGCCTATTTTCAAGACGTGGTGGGACAGACTCGAGAGGCAGTGGGCCTCCTCGAGCCCAGGAAGAATCTTCCTCCCAGCAGGAAACGGTGCATCTCTGGTGCCAGGCAAAAGACGGAGTGCGCAAGCACCTCTGCATGGTTTTTCCGGCAGGAAGGAAGCACTGATCCAGGTGGAAAGGGCCTCCTCCTCCTCCAGCCAGGTGGTGCCACAGCGTCCCCTACGGAGCTGCGATCCAAGCGCCGCTCTGAGTTGCGGTCCAGCCCCTTCGAAGACCACCAGGTCCAGGAAGGCTGCGACAGAGTGCCCACACCTCTGCTCCCCCCGAATCTGGGGCCAAAAGGGACTCCGCTTCTGTAGCAGGGGCCCGGCTGGTCCCGGTGGGAGCCTGCTGGGCCCTGGACCCACACGGCAGCAGTCGCTTTTCCCACGTTGCCCGGAGTGGCCTCCTTGCCAGAGGAAAGTGGGCGCACTTTGGTGCAAGATGCCCTTCAAAGCAGCTCGGTGTGGAGTTGCAGCAAACTGGTTTCAGCAGCGCATCCTGGACCAGGCCCCTCCGGCCCCGCTGGCCCCACACTCCGCGGCCGTGTGAGGGCCACCCAGCCGCCCGCCCCGTCCCTACCCGTTCCCCGTTACCTTGTCAATTTTGGGCAGCACGGCGACTATGTGTCGTGCCAGGACTTCCCCTGCCTTGTTGAAAATGTACCGGCAGAGAGGATCCCCGGCCTCCGCTCCTGCAGGGAGGGAGGGGGAAGGCCTTTCACTGGACTGCCGCGCACGCGTGCCCGTCCCGCCACCTCGGCGTGCTGCCCTCGCCGGACCCGCAGGGCACGGGAGGCCGCCACTGGCCCGGGCAGCGGGCAAGTGGAGCCCGCTCTCCCCCATCCTGCAGCGCCACGGAGCAAGACGGGCTCGCGGGCTGGGGCACTGCGGGAGACCGCGATGGCCGCTCGGGATCCCCCCGCGCTGGCGTGCGGCGCGCTTTTGGGACCGGCCCTTTGCAGAGCCGGATCGGCTTCTGCGCACGGCTCAGGGCTGCCTCTCGCAGAACTCGGCCAGGACTGGATTTCCATCTGCCACAAGGCAGCGCCATGGCCACACTCCCTTTCCGGAAACATCTCCCGGAAACAATGGCCGATCGCATCTTTGTGTGTGTGTTGGGAATGAGCTCTCCAGATAGCCACAGCTGCCGTAACTTGGGCCGGGGCCGGGCAGCCGCTCCCCACACTGGCCTGCTCAAAGCGACGGGAGGGGCACCGGCCGGCTGGCCGGCCCTTTGGCGAGGGCCTTCTCCAGGGCGGAGGCGGTGCCGCCCGGCTGCGATGGGCTTCCCTGACCTGCCAGCACGGAACGAGAGCAATCCCCCCAGGAGCCCGCTGGGGTTCTGGGCCACAGACGCCCCCCAGCCAGGGCTGCACCTTCGCAGCTACCTTCAGCCAGCTTCTGGCAAAACCCCGCGAACTTGGACTTCTCAAAGGTCCGGTAGAGATGCGTCAAGAGGCCCATCCTGTCCGAGACCTGTGGGAAAAGGGAGGCCAGGTCAGGCGGGTGGTTGCTGGGGCGTCTGCCTCGCCTTTTCATCCCGAGGGATCCCCAAAACGCTTCCCCACGGCAGCTGCTTCTGTCCCCTGCCGCGCGCACGGCTCCACCCGGGCAGTGTGCCCTCCCCAGCCACCGGCCCCCCGGCAGCCTGTTGCCTCGCATCCTCTCTCCTTTCCCAGGTGAGGGCCACTGGGTGGGCCCCACCTGGCTGATCCACCTGAGTCTCTTTCCCGGAAGGCGCAGGAGGCGGCGGCAGGTGTGGCCCCCGTGCCTCGGGCACATCAAGCGGGGCCCTCCGCACTGGCTCCGGAGGAGAAAACGGTCAGATGGGCGCGGAACAGTTTGTGCTCTGCAAGGTTTATAAACTGCCTGATTGGTGAAACCTCAGGGCAGAAACACCAATACAGAAGAGAGATCCCTATTAAAAACATGTAATTTCTAAGTGCTCAAGATGCTACACTAATCTGCAAGAGTTCATACATCAGCGACAGCAGGGACTTTTAACTGCAGCCCGTGTGAGTCAGGAATTTATTTATGTTATTTTTTATGTTGTAAGCCGTCCTGAGGCTTTTTGCGACAGGACGGCATATAAGTATTTCAAATAAATAAATAAACTCTTAATACGGGAGGGGGAATGCGACTGGACAGGTGTAACTGAACCTCGGTGGGCCGACTCCCGGGGCCGGCATTCAGCCGCCGAAGGGCAAACTGTCCCGGAAGAACGGCAGGAACGGAAAGGGCGGTGGAGGTGCGCTCTGTGTGTTGAAGAGCCACGTCACTGCGCAGAAATGCGGGGGGGGGCTGCTTAGTGGCCCCCTTGGGAGCATCGGGGTGAACAGAAATGGCGCGAGGGATAAGAGGAGCAGAGTGGCGGGGTCTCTTACCAACCACCTGCCCGAGGAGCAGGTGAGGATGACCCCTTTGGACAGCAAGGCGCCAGCGTGTCAAGGAGGGGCGCTGTTGCCATTAAGGGGGGCTTCAGTGTCCCCGGTATCTGTTGGGAGGCACGTTCTGCCCAACGGGGTCCCGCCAAGAGATTCCAGCATCTGCTGCTGGCAACTTCCTCCGACCGAAAGCGGAGGGCGGGACAAGAGGAACGGCCCTCCCAGACTCGGTGCAGGGAAGTCCCGGTGGCCAAAGGGGCGGCTGCGGGAGCTCGGGGGGATCCCGTCCGCGGATCCTTGGTTCTAAAGGGAGCAAAAGGGGGGCAGCCAAACACGCACCCGGGACTTCGAGGGAGCCAATTTTAATGAACTCAGAACAATGATAAGCCGAGTCCCATGGCAAGTGACCGTCATGAGAAATGGAGTCCAAGAGGGGTGGGATTTTTTTTTAAAAAAATGAAATTGTAAAGGCACAATGCTGAACCATTCCACCCAGGTAAAAGGGAAGAGGCCCAACTGCAGCGCATCATCAGTGGTGACCTGGCTTCCTCGAGACGCAGCGCTCGCGGCTTTTCCTTCCGGGTGTCGGCTGCCCGTGTGTTTCAGGGCATGGCCAGGGCGCACAGTTCCCCCATGGTTTTTCTTTCGCATCTGCCCTTGCAACCAGCCCTCAGCCGCGGCGAGGCCGTTTAGGGTGAGAAAGAGGAAGTGGCTGGGCTGCACAACCGACCCTCGAGGGCCACTTCCCTCTACTCGGCACGGCTGAGGCCTCGTCTGGAGCACTGCACGAAGGTCTGGGCCCCCGAGTTTTAAAAAGATGCAGAAAAGCTAGAAAGGGGGGGCATGAGGGGCAACAGGGATGATTCAGGGGATGGAGGCGAAGCCTCTGAGGAAAGATGGGGAAACTGGGCATGTCCAGCCCAGCAAGAAAGGGCTGAGGGGAGGCACGATTGCTCTCTGTGCATCCAGAATGGCTGCCGCAGAGGAAGGCCGGGGTCTCTTCCCAGGCACCCGGAGTGCAGGGCGTGGAACGAGGGGCTCAAGCGACGGGAAGCAAGATCCCAGCTTGACATGCGGAAAGATTTCCTGATGGTCAGTGTAGGAGGACACCGGAACCACCCCCGCAGGGAGGTGGCGGGCTCCGTTACCCTGGGCAGCCAGGTGAGAGGGGTGGGCGTACCTGGGAGCCACGCGCTGAGCTGACGGCCTCTGGCCCCTTCCAGCTCCACTACTGTGCAAGTCTCTGATTCCAAGAGGGGAAAAAACCCGGATGCCGCTAAAAGCTCCACAGAACAGGGCAGGCTTTGCCATGAGCTCAAAGTCAATGAAGAAGAGCTGGGCCACTGCTAAGGCAGCTCCATGGGGCAGGGCCCCCCAGGATGGTGCCTGGAAAACTCCCTGGCCTTTGAGGAGGTGTGTGTGTGTGGGGGGGGGCTAGGAATGTCAGGGCAACTTCCTCTCTCCCCCTTTCCAGCCTGGGTCCTCCTTCCTGCCACACCCCCTTGCCCATTTCTAATGAGCCAGGCCCCAAGGCAGCCATTACAGGGCTATGAACGTAAGGAGAGCCCTGCCGGATCGGACCCGGGGCCCGCCTGGGCCAGCCAAGCCACTGCCCGCAGGAAGCGAAAGCAGGACGGCGCACCCAGCGCCCTCCGCCCAGCAGCGGGTCCCCCGGCGAGGCCGACCTGCACCAGACGTGCCCGCTGGGATTCGCCTCCAGCCGCCCTTCTCCAGTCCCCCTTCAGCGCCTTCCAACTTGGCAGCCGCCACACGCACGGAGGAAGCGCCTCCTCAGTTCCCAGATGCGCCCAGGGTCCGAAAAGGGTGGGGACCCCCACCTTAGGGACATGGAGGGGGTGGGGCTGCTGGGCCTGCTCAGAAGCGCTGGGGGAAGGGGCGAGGGGTGCAAGGGTGGCGCGGCCTGGCACCTCGCCCGGGTGTCTTGATGGGAACACGTGGCCCGAGGGGACGCCATGCCCGTGCGCCGCCGGAGCCCAGCCAGGAGAGACCACCGCCCGGGAGTGCTGCTCGGTGGGAGAGCCGCGGGACTCCTGGGTGGGCCATGCCACACGAGCCCCCAGCTCCGGGACTCACAGCGCCCTGGCGGAGGCAGGCACAGGCAGCCCCGGGCAGCAAGCGGCCCTCTCATCCCTCCAGCGGCGCAACGTAAAGGCGAATCGGCTGAGCCGCACCGGGAAAAGCAGGAGATGCGATGGCGCCCCATTGCGGGCCATGGGCCTCGGCGCCCCATCGCCTGCACACGCCTCTGCCTGTCCAACCATCCGGAAGGACGAGCCGCCCCACGGGAAGTGCCTGCGCGGGGCTGACGGGGGTCAGCCTGGAACCTACCTGGAAGTAGTCGAACATGGCCTGCTTGACGTAGCTGATGTCGTGCGGAGGCACTTCCAGGTTGTCCAGGCCGTCGAACACCATCTTCACGGCCTGGTGAGCGATCCAGTAGGCTGCCAGACACCGAGACGGGCATTAGGGTGGGCCGGAGCCTCTGGGTGGAACGCCGAGGCCCGGCCCCGGGAACTGCCAGCTGACGGAAGCCCCGGAGACGCCCCTTCGGCACGCGGGCTCCCCCGAAGGGCGGTCGGCACCACGCACAGGGGCTCGGCTGAGGTCCGACGCGCGGGGTGCGCACTCCCTGGAGGACGTCGGCACTGACACAGCTGCCCCCGCCTGCACCCGGCCTGCACCACCGTGGGTGCGGCCAGGCCCTGGCCCCACCTTCCCGGCGTGGTCCCCCGGCAGGGGCTGTCTGGGGCCGGCCGTGCGGGCCTCCTCCTCCACAGCTATGGGGCCCCGTGACTTGAGGGCGCTGGGGACCCAGGAGGGGCACAGGCCAGCCAGCAGGAGGCAGCTGCCATCCCCTCGCTGCCCCCAGGAGCCCCGCGTCATGCCGGGAGCGACGCCAGCGTGGCGGGAGGGGGGAGGCAGAAGAGGCCCTGTGGCCCTCGCGCTCTGTGCTCCAAGAGGACTGCCCGCCCACCTGGCTGAGCCCAGGCTGAGCGACGCACACGGCCCACCTCAGTCGGCAAGCGCTAGCGCAGCCTCGCTCAGGCCGAGCGCGGCATTGCCCCCCCCCCCGAGCGCCAAAGCCCCTGGCGGCCCCAGAGCTGGCCCTGCAGGAGCACTGCCTCTTGCACCTGGCCAAGAACGTCTTGGAGGGTTACTGGCCTCTGTGGTGCATGCGCAGGGCGCCCCCTCCCAGGGGCCACACGGGCTCGCGGCCTCACGAGCCCCTGCTGACACGCAGGGTCCCGGAGTGGCACCGCACGTGCCAAGAGCCTTTAGCCCCAGGGCCACGACACCCCTGGCACAGCTGAGTGGCGCTGCCCAACCCCAGCGAGTCCAGCCGCGTCAGGACGAGGTCTCCCGAAGCAGAGGCTGGGCCGAGGAGCCCAAGCGCCCGGCCCAGCGTCCTCACCCGATCCCTCATCACCCATCATGTGGCCCCATCCTCCGCAGCTGATCTGAGAGCCGTCCGGGTTGATGAGCTTGCAGTTGGAGCCGGTTCCAGAGATGAGCACCACGCCACCTGAGCGGGGAAGGGCACGTTCACAGCCAGCGCCTGCAGGACGAGGCCGGGCCGGTCCCTGGACAGGCGCTTCTCGTGACCAGTGGCCCTCGCGCAGCCGGCTCCTCCTCCAATGGGAAATTGGAGACTCGCCGCTCCCGAGATGCTCCGTCCAAGGCAGCCGGGGCTCGCAGAGGCCACAGCGCCGAACTAGCAAGCCCAAGCATCGTTTCGGGCCAAAACTGTTCTACTTTTTTCGCAAAAGGAGGCAGGAGGGTAATTTTTCCAGGCACAAAGAAAGATTCCGTTGAGCAAGCTGGCTGAACCTGGCCTCTCAGACGGGCCCTGCAATCCTAGAGCAGAGGTGCCTGGGGACTCACACTTAGTGGAGTGGGTTTTACATGGCTATGCAGAAGTAGAGGTGCCACGGAGGCTCTCTGAGCCAAGAACTCAGCTTTCAGCAGGGAGCCAAGCTGCATGGGTAACGTACACCAACGGGCAGCGGCACTGGCCGCGAACGGTCAGTTGGTCCGGAAAAAGGCAACGCTGGGAAGCCAGCCCTCCCACCGAGGGTCTGTGGGCCAGGCAGCAGGAAGGCAGCCGTCCACCGGGCCCCTCGCCGGCTTACCGCAGTCGGTGGCCGTGGCCATGGCGCCGATGGCGTCCGTGGTGATGTAGTAGTTCTCGCTCAGGCAGGGGAAGCGGCTCTTCATCTCCTCCGTGAGCTTCCTGATGGCCTCCTTCTGCTCCCCTCCGCTCAGAGAGAGGCCCTGCAGCGAGGCGCACGCCGTCAGCACCCCTCAGGGCCCCCCCGCCAGTCGCTGGGGGCCCATGGCAGACCAAAGAGCAGCCCTCCCCCCACAGTTGGGAGCACCTCCACGAGACGAGATCGGCAGACCTTGCCCCGCCGTCCGGACCAAGTTTGGTTTCCGATCTTCTAGGGAACCATTTCCACCTGCTTTCCACCCACCGTGGAACTCTTGAGCTTTGAGGAGAATTGTGGGAGCGGTTGTAGGGCCGCCCACCCCACCTGCCGGCCCCCAGATTCCCTGGGCGGGACCTCTGGGGACGCCTTCCCCTGCCCCACCTGGATTCCACGCAGCACAGCCAGGGGTCCAAGCTGTGCTCCAAAGAGCCAGCACGGGCTCAGGCGTGCCGGGGGCTTCCGGGCCGCCAGGCCGGCTTCTCCCGAGGGCACGGGCCCCCGGGCTGGGTGGGAAACACTCACCAGGGAGCGGAGGGGGACCTGCGGGTCAGCGCCTGCCTTCCTCTTGGCCTCGCTGACCATGGCGTTGATCCGTTCCAGGCACTTGTCTGCACCAACCAGCTAAGCAGCGAGAGGAGACCAGAAAGACCCATCAGGGACCGCCACGGCCCCCCACCAGGCGGTTCGGCCCCCGCCCCACCCTCACTGGGCACTGGGCCAGCCCCGCTTAGCCCCCTGGAAGGCAGGCCTCCCCAGTGCACCTGCTCAGGCAGCGCAGGCTGTTCCCCCAGCAGCCCTCCCTGCCGGGGCCGCGGGTGCCTCTGGCTGGAGCCCCGCATTCCCAGGGCACAGAGCTACTGGCCACGCTGGCTGAGGGGGAGGCCAGCTGCATCCCGATGCACCTGGAGGGCCCCGGCTTGGGGAAGGCGCCCCCCATCGCCACTGGGTCACCAAACCCCACTGTTTCCGCCAAAGGTGCAGTACAGCCCTTTCTGTGTTGCAATACACTTTCTACGCCGAGGGAAGTGGGGCCATCCTGTCCAGTGCCGGGCGCCAGCCGGGCCCCCTCACGCCTTCCCACCCCTCGGGTCTCAGCTCGCTGCGCCTGCCCCCAGCCCCGAGGAGCACCGACGCTGGAAAACGACAGACACGCTTGCCCGGTGCCAATTGCTGGTGCGAGGCTCTTGTGTTCTCTCGAACAGAAGAAAAGCCCTGCTGGATCGGGCCCGTGCCCAGTCCTGCACTCAGGTCCCAGAGACAAGCCAGCTGCCCACAGGGTCCCTCCAGCAGGGAGGGGGCACGGCCTTGGCCTGCCCGAGCCCCTCAGCGGACCCGGACGCCTGCCTGCAACGGTGGAGGCGGCACGCAGCCAGCCAGGCTGGGGGTCAGGACCGACCCAGCGCCTCCGTGGCCGCCCAGCGGGCAAGGAGTGCTGGAGAGGCTGTTCACAGGAGGGCCCAAGAAGCCCAAGGAAATGCCGGGGGGGGGGGCCTTCCTCAAAATGTGCGAGGGGCACCGCTCCAGGCGTGGGATGCGGGGCGTCTGGGTGCCTGGTGTGGCACCCGCAGGTGGTCTTCCTGGGTGACCCGCCAGGGGCCTCGGGGTCTCTGCACTCACAGGGCCTGGTTTCAGGGGGGCTGGGCTGGAGGGGCTTTCCTTGTTCGTGAAGTGGCGGTTTCCTCTTGGGGGGGGTGCCTCGGCTTCTCTCACCGCCCCCCGCTCCGCCCGGGAGCACGGGGCTCCGAGGAGCAGGCTGTCGGCCCGGCAGGGACAAGGTCCCCCCCCCCCCACGCACTGGCTCGGGCGTGCTGGGCAGGGTGGGGCCGCATGCGCTTGCCGCCGCGAACATGGCACTGTCCCAGCGCGTTCGCTCTGCCGCCAGAAGAGGCTGCGGGCGCCGCTTTCACTTCCTTCAAAGCCACGCTCAGCCACGTGCCCTTTCTCCTTGCTCAGCGGCCGCCAAGGCCAGCCAGTGGCTGCACCGGCAGCTCCGGTGCCCCCCGCCAGCGGGGGGGGCTGGACATCTTGGCCCGCACATGGGCAGGCCTCGGCCTCGAGGGGCCCGTTCCGATGCTACGCAGCCCCCCCACACAACAAGGGAGGCGAGGGAGAGCCTTACCCAGTGGTTGGTGCAGGGCCCCTCCGTCTCTGCCATGATCTTGCCATCTTCCGAAATGAGGACCACCTTGGAGTGGGTCCCCCCGCTGCGGACAGAGGGAGGAAAAGCCAGTCAGTCCAGGTGGGACCCCGGCTCCTGAGCCGCGCCCTCTGCTTTCCACTCCTGCCCGGCCCCCAGGGGCCCGAGGAGGAGGTGCGCCCCCTGAGCGCACCCCATTTAGCTTCTCCAGTGAGGGGCTGCCATTCAGGCGAGGCCCCATCCAAAGCCCGGCCCGAAGGAGGCAGGCCGTTGGCCGCAGGCCTGCGCGGCCCTTGCGCTTCGGCTGCCGAGATGCCCCTCTGCGCACGCAGACAGCGAACGGGCCAGAGGCTGGGCGGCTGCTGCCAGGGGTGGGGAGGCTGCTGGAGGGGGCAAGGGAGTCAAGATCCTGGCAGCTCTGTCAGCTGGGAAGGGACCCCGGACGGAAGCCCACCCGTGTCCTCGGCTGACAAGCAAAGGCCTCGCCAACAGCTCCGTGGCAGCGTTTGTCCTCTGGTGCCGAGGGAAAGCTCTCCTGAAACGAGGCTGCCGGATCCCCACAGCCCAGCACCGGCAGCTGAGCTTCCCCTAGTTAAAAATAAATCACTTCCAGCATCGGCAGGAGGAGCTCAGAGCTTGTGGAGCGCTTCCGAAACTCTGCTTTTCCACCGACCATCGCTCGCGAGGGGAGAAGCAAGACAGAGCAAGCTCTGCTCCAGCATGTGAGAGTGTGCAAGAGCCCCGTGCAGCACATCACTTCCACACCCGCAACCAGGCCGCTCGTACGAGCGCAGCCCCCGCGCCGAGGCCAGCCCCGCACTGGAACCCCGCGGCCCCCGGGAACGGCCTCCTCCTGCTCTGCTGCCGTGGCACCGTGTGGCTGGCCCTATTCCCAGGGCTCGGGGGAGCCAGATCAGTACCGGTGTGCTGCCGCGGGAGACCCCCCCCCCGCACCGTGCATGCGCCGTGCCGCCCGCCTTCCGACTGCTTCCCTGCGGTCCGTGGCACGAGCGACCGAGGAGCCGGCCCCGGGGCAAAGCCCTCTTTGCTGGGAAGGCAAGGAGCGCGAGGCGCCAGGCGGAGGGGGTGCGAGCCCCCACCGCACCGCTGCTACTGAGCCCCGAGGCAGCTGGCAGCACCAGCCTTCCCCAGTCTGGGCCAGAGCTCCCACAATCCCAGGCTGGAAGGATGGGACGGACCGACTCCACAAAGCATTTTCTACTGAGCAACTGGAGCTCACAACCGTTAAGGCCGAGGATTGTCTCTCTCCCTCGGGCCAGCAGCTGCCCTGAGCTCTGCAGAGATCCCAAGAAGCTCACGAGCCCCTGTGCAGCCCCCACCGCCAGTCTGCAGGACACGTCTGGGGCTCAGTTGCGCATCAGAATCGCGCCACAGCGCTGCCAAGTCACCATCGTTACATCCCAGGAATGCCCGGAAGCCTGCAACACCTTCAGTGGGTTCGCTCCGGTTTCTGCGGCCAAGCCGCCCCCTCCCCAGTTCTCTCCCTGTGTGAGCTGAAGGGACTGGCACGGGCCGAGGCCTGAGCCACAGGTGCAAAAGGGCAGCCTTGGCTGGACAAAGTGCTTGGGCACCGCAGCTGTGGCACGACGCTCGCAGGAGTGTGAGTCTGTCCTGCCCACGGTGCCCCCTTCGAACCCAGATCTCCCCAGCTGGAGGAGCGTGTGAGCGAGCGTGTCCCACGAGGCCTCTCTGCAGGCAACTGCAGCCCAAGCCGACAGAGGCACCTCCTAAAGGCCTCCTAGCAAGGCCCTTTCCGTCTCAGAACCGAGCAAAGCCCTTCCAAAGCCAGGCGCTATTGTAATCCTCACCTTGGGAAAACACACATAAATGTCTTTGGAGGCATTCTACTCACAAGACATTTCTCCGTGGATCTGGAGTAGTAAAATGCCTCCACAACCACACATATGCCTGTGGTGTCTGCGGAAGTATGTCTTAAAATATTTTTAAAAGTATCATAAATTATAAATGCAGAGGAAGGCAGGACGTGCTCCGACGGAGCCGAGCTCAGGGAGCCAAGGTTTCGTTTGGATGCCAGGAAGCACTTCCTGACAGTAAGGACCCCAAGGGTGTGGAATGGGCTTCCCTGGGAGGTGGTGGAGGCCCCATTGGTGAGGGTGTTCAAGGACAGGGCATGTCGTGAGTAGAGCCGGCTGGAGCCGGGGGGGTCAGACTAGATGGCCCGGGAGACCCCTTCTGACTCGCTCTGTTTCCATAAATTCAAACTTTATTTTTGCAAAGAATGTTTTTGATCTTATGGGGATCCCCACTGAAATCCCACGGTGTGTGCTGACCTACTGAGCACCCACAGTACTTAAACAAGCCTTCTCTTGAAAAATCCACAGGAATATTTTATATCCCAAAAGTTGCTTCCATTTGGGGATTATAAAGACACCCGAACGACCGCTGCTTCTTGGGATAGTGTGCGCCTCACACTGGGTGCTTTTTCAGAAAGCAAACGCTGAGTTGTCAGAGGCGGAACCTTGCGAAGCCTGTGCAGCTGACCGAGGAGAACTGTGACGCAGGTCTACTCCTGTGCAAATTCTGCAGCAAAAAGCGTACCCGGGGAATCAGCGCGCCCCAGCCCGGTGGGTCGAGGTTCAGCAAACCCCGTTCCTCTTTCATCACCCTCACCCCAATTTCTTGGTCCAATTTTCACTGTCGATAAAACGCAGCCGTGTCGCCTCCTGCTGCCGTGTGCCCTCAGAACACGCAGCGTCCCAGGTATTAGCTCAGGTGCTCTCCTGAATCCTGCCAGCCTATGAATCTCTGTGACTTGGCATCCTGCACCAGCAGGGGGTCAGACGCGATGCCCCCCCCCCGACCCCTTCTGACCGCACCTTTCTACGAATCCCGGCAAGCCTCCATTTCCCGGTTTCCACTAGATTTGGGCAAAATGGCCGTCCCTGAAACGGAGTCCATCTGCCACTCGCCATTCGAAATGCACCTGCAAAACTGGTTGTGTCGACGACACAGGCTCTTTAAGTAAACAAAATACGCAGATCTTGGAAAAACTTTCCAGTCCATTAGCCGTGCATCCAACCAACCTGAGCGATGTGTACACTTCTGTCCCCCAAGAAAGCAAGCGAGTACTCATTAGCCCAAAATTATTAAGCCAGCCTCCGGGAAGGCACTGTTTGTACAAGCTGCCTGATTCTACCTTGGCGGCACACGCCACAAAGTGCTTTCGAGTGGGCGGTCCTTCCTCTTCCCATTATAACACGGCCCCAACTCCAAGGCAGACTTTGCATCAGCGCAACCTGGGAATTTCCTCCCTCTTTCTGAGACATCCTTTTGCTGTTAAGATGGTCTGTAAAGATGGTCTGTAAAGGCATCAAGGCGTATTCGACCATCTAGTTAAGATGGTCTGTAAAGGCATCAAAGCGTATTCCAGGGCTTGAGGGACAACCTATCTCAGGTTTTAACAGTTTGTGATGTTCTGTATTTGGGAAATTTTATACGATTGCACTGTATCAAGTTATCAACAAAAGGGCTTCAGCTCTAAGATGGCAGAGAAATTCAAGAAAGCATTCTATATAATGGTTTTTTTCTTAACCCAAATGATCACAGAGGGGGAAGGCTGGGAAAATAGTGAGGTTAGTCTTTTTTAAAAATCACAGAAAAACGGAATAGCAGGACCAATATGCAACAAGAGCAAACCGCTACCAATATGGGTCATGCCATTTCACTAGGGCTGGGGAAGTGTCTGCCCGGGCAGGAAGTGAGGATCCAGGCCCGCGCCTGAGGGCCCTCCGAGTCAGCTGCGGCAGGGTCAGGACGCGGCAGGCACTGCGGGTGCCGATCATCCTGGGCTGCCAGGGCACGGCTGGCCAGTCACCCGGACGCCGGCAGCCCAGGCAGGGAAGCGAGCCCTGGGGTCCCTCGGGCTGCTCCCTGGGGACCCGCGGGGGCAGGGGAAGGAGCCGTCCTCCGCTGCAGCCAGACCGTCCCTCCACCACACCATCTTCTCCCGGTACCAGCTGCGTGCCTCCATCGGGACACTCTCCACCCACGGGTGCCCACCGGTCCCCGAGGGCCAAGGCCAGATCCACAAGGGGCCGTTGCTGGAAGGGCGGCCCAGTCCAGTCCCGCGGTCTCAGTAGCCGCGTCAACGTGACCCGAAGTGCGGAACAAAAAGGGAGGGCGGGAGCCCAGTGGCGGAGCCCCATCTGGCAGGGACTGGGGGGGGCAGCTCTGCTGTTCTTGCCCAGGGCTCCCCATCAGCGGGCTGGAAAGCATCCCGGGAAGCCGCTGCCGGCCAACGAGGCCAAGCAGAGCTCCAGCTAGCCAAGACGGGGAGCCTGCCGTGGGTGGCTTGTGGCACGGGGAGCATATCGCACTGCCCTCCTGCAAAGGGGGCAGCCGGACTGCCGGGCGTTCCCAGACCCAGCCGCATCGCCCAGGGCCCGGAGGGGGCACGACTCCTGTCCCGGCCGCAGCGGAGGGGACGGCGGCAGCCACCCTCCCAGCAGAGAGGGCCCGGCCAGGGCCAGGCGGCATCTCGTTCAGGCAGGGCGACCGTGTGAAACGCCCGGCTAGCCTTCGGCTCCGGGTCCAGCTCCCAGACCGAGGCACTGCCGCTTCCCACCCGCCCAGTGGGTCGAGCGCTGCGCAGCTCGGCTGGCTCCCCACCTGGCCTGACCTGCCCCGGCCCTGCAGCACCGGCGGGGCCTCCTTGCGGTGGCCCCGGTGCGGAAAGCTGCCCTCGGGTCGCTCGCCCCGCACGGAGCCGGGGCAGCGGCAGCGGCAAGCAGAGGCCTTCGGGCTGCGGCAGGGCTGCCCCCGCCACCCGGGACGCGCTCGCCCGGGCCGGGCTCAAGGTACGCGCTTCCGGAGCGCGCCAGCCTGGGGCAGGGGACCCGAAGCAGGTCTCGCCCCCCGCCCGCCCGCGGCCCCGGTCGTCGCAGCCCCCGGGCAGAACTGCCGGGAGCCGCAGTCCAAAGCACGCGGCGGGCGCCCGGCCGGGT